ACAGGCTTCTTAAAATCAGACAATATCTGTGCTTGTTTGAAAGGCACAAGTATTTTATTCCAGGTGTTTTTGGCTGCAAAACCAGCAGCTTGATTCTCATGATATATGTTTTTTTTTTTCCCTGCAGATGCAGACTTCATGCATACCATATGGTGGTAATTAACAGTTTCAGACTTAGTTCTCAGTTTTCTTCTGCTTCAATTCTTGGTTGGTTTGGGACAAAATTTTAATGTCACAGAAGCAGAGTGTCTGAGTTTAATTGCAGACAGGAATAATGTGCATCTCTAGATGAGGAAGGAGAAGATGAGATCTATTTAGAGCACTAAGAGATATTTTGGAGATCTCACCGAGTACAACCTGTTTCTTTTCATTAGGCCTTTAAATGTTCCTCTGCAGAACTGAAATATGCCTCCCTTGGACCCTGGAAACAGAGGGAGACAATTTGAGAGATACAGCTGGAATGAAGAATTTCTTTTAACAGCACAATGTTTGCACTTTTTATGAGAGCAAGGGTAACATTGTGTAATCTTTAAAAAAGATATTGCTCGGTGAGGGCAAGTCCATTGTCCAGTGACATGACTTTTCCTGTCAATCACAAAGGTGACAAGGGGGCTAGATTAAGTAAAGCTTGCCCAAGATTAACAAAGGAAGATTATTGACCTCATCCTGAAAGGGCAGAAGCTTGTTTTATCATTAAACCTTGCAAGAGGTATTTCCTCCATAGGTGGAAAGCTGTTTGGCAATATCCAGGCAACTTTCTTGCAAATGAGCGGGTCCTCCTGCGGATTCTAGCTTGGAGCAGAAGGCACGGGCCGTGGGTTGCTCCCTTTTGTGCTGGGAGGGAGAGAAGGGGCTGCAGTGTTGGCTCCAGCAGGATCTGTGCGCTCCCTGCCTGCTGTCTGCAGGGGAATTGAGGAGCAGCAGCCCCAGGTGTCTGGTGAGTACCATCCCAGCTCAGGAGATGTGGGCCAGCTCCATCCGCAGAGAATGGGCAGTGCAGGTGGGCACAGAGCCCCGTGCACCTGCAGCTGCCCCTGCACAGAGCTGCCACCAGGATTAGCAGTGCCAGAGGCTGCAGTGTGATCAAACTTGAGCAGGTGAGATGGTTCTGCAGCTGGGAAAGGCTCTTCTCCAGGAAAGGTGTTTGTCCTCTGCTCTGCTGGCTCCGAGATGGGTCCTGTGTGTGGCTCGATGGATGTAATTGTACCATGTCACCATTAGATATTGATGTTTCTTAATTCCACTTTGCAGTGCTGTTGCTGTTCTCTCAGTGGAACTGGGAAAAGTCATGTCAATTTGTCCTTTTGAAAAAACAACCTGCTAAATCTCTCTTGTTGGGGGGGAACTTCTTCTCAGGGGATTGATTTTAAACTGTTGCTGATGTGTCTTTCTTGCCATTGAGAATTCTCTGAGTGTTTTCAGGGGGACAGTTAAACTTCAGTTTAACTTGACAATTAAACTTGATATTTACAGTATTTGCTAACGTTTAAAAGAAACAAAACAGACACACAATATTCACAGAGCAAGAACAATCTTCAACTTTTGCTTAACCTTCCGCTTACAATCTTTGCCTCATATAATGCAATATCAGAGGATTTTTTTTACTCAGTTTTTTGGCTTTATGCAGCCATTGACACGAGCATGTTTTATGTGGTGGAAGTGTCCTTTATTTTTACGTGCTAGTATTAAAAATCCCGACCCACTGAGAGCCTTTTCATGTCTCCAATTAATGGCACAAGAAGGAACAAAATAAAAGAGAGGGACATGAAGTGAAAGCGAGGTAACTGATGTACATTTCATATTGTTGTTGGGAATGGCAGAATGAAAGGATGCCTGTGGGGCAGCAGGCTCTGGAGCTGTGTGCTGCAGGATTCCTGCTGCAGTGTCCTGAGCAGCAGGAGCTGGGCTCAGCTCTCCTCCACAGCACACAGCAGAGGATTCCTCTTGGACTGCGAATCACGCGTTGGGGGTGTGATTGCCACAGATCTTTCTGAATGAATAATTCACTGGTGTACTGTCATTTAGCCCACTGAGATGTGGTTGCAGCTGTTCCCCTACTGTATCTGTGTTTTGATTGAGGCTTAAATCCCACAAGTGTGTAAATAGCCATGTATGTGATATGCAAACACTGCATACGTGCACACCTAACTAAGACCTCCAAAGAAACTTTTTGCAGGGGATGGTTTCTTGATTGTATATTTCAGTATCTCATTTACCTTTTAAAAATATCTTGTAGAACGCTTCCCTTTCTTTTCTTAGCCAGCTATGAAGTCTTTCTAAGTGTGGTATTGTAAATGCTTTTAGCCAACATTGTAGTAGGAGAGTATCTCTGTTATTAATGAATTTATCATTCCAAGACCTTTATCATATGAGAGATTATATAAGAGATTACTTGTGCCTGTTCTGCAGGTAGGAATCTGAAATACAGGGGAAAAAAGTTTTATTTTCTATGGTTCCACAGTGCACTTGAAAGAACTAGGAATTGAGTATTCATAGTCCTTCGTGGTGCTTTGTTCACCGACTACTGCATTGTCCCCCTCACAATTCCTTTTCCCAGAAAGCAAGGCAGAGTTTTAAAAATACTTGTGAGCTTCATTTGAAAGCCAAGCAATTTGTGATTCTGAAAACCATCTTCTATTACTTTACATAATCTTTCAATCCTTGTGTTCTTGTGCTTCTTCTCTTATAACAAACTGGTTTTATATGAGAATATACTTGTAGGTACAAAGCCCCACTTGCATATTTGTACCTCACATGTGCATGGAAACTGCAGTGGTGATTCCTGAGGTTTAGGCAGCTTTTACAAATACTTTGTATATTTGTAAAATACACAAAGTATTTGTAATAAGCAATGTGTGACACACAGAAACAGGAGTGAAAGTCTTTGGGACCTGCTTTGGATTAAAACAAGAAATTTGTTCTTGGTAAAATGAAGAAACACACTGTTCTACACACATGACTGGTGGCATAGGTAGATTTAAGAACTGTAACTAAGGATGATGATATTTGGCTTATCTGTCTCAAAGTGTGAATAAGAAAGCAGCTTTCAAGATATTTCCTCTTTTAGCCTCGTGTGTAGGGAAAACAATTGCCACTTGGTGATAATGGTTTTGAATTTTGGCTAAAGTCTGAAATGATGCTGAAGTTAACCATTTTGCTTGTTTAGATTGGAGTTAAGAAATCAGTTTACTCAAGTCTATAGGTGAAAAAACCTGCATTTGGCTTCAGCTAAGTTTTGAAGTTCAGTGTTAGCAAGTAGGAATTTTTCAAGTGCAGAATAAAGATGGAGGGAATTGGAAGGGGAAAAAAAAGGAGCATTTCTATTGATTGGAGTTGGAAAATTTTTTAGGGCTTGGTCAAAAGCTCATTGACGTCAGTAGAAAGTCTCTCATTAACATCACTGGGTTTGGTTTTTGGGGCATATGATGGCCCAGATTGTAATCTCAGTTAAATCCGATTCTCTTAGGGAATTTATTCACTACTATAACACATTCAAGCTGCTCCAAACTGTTTGCATTAAAAGTTTTCTTAACCGTAGGTAATCTTTTGGCCACAACAAAGTAGCCTGGGAAAACAAATAGTTTTTCTTTATTACATGTTTTCCATGTAGCTTTACTCAGATTTTATTAAAATAATTTGTAGCAATTTATGTTCTTTTATAATAAGGGCTTTTTTTTTTTGAAATACCGTGGTTTATTAGGGCAGACATCAAAATTACTCAAAAATATAAAATTATAACAAAAATCACAAAGCACAGTGTGTGTGCGTATTTACAGACAGATGTAGCACCTTCATACCCTCTGAAATGAAGTGCAAGAGTGAAAACAATTAAAAAATTAAGACTTTTTCAACCAAGTCTGTAATTCATATAGCAAGATGATCCAGTGGCTTATTTAAAAACCAGTATTCATTAAACAGCTAGAGTACAAAAATAAGATAGTGAAAAAAAAACCCCTGGGAAATGACATCAAAATAAAAACTACTCTTGTTTACAGTGTTATATTTTATTCAGTGTATTACTCTGCTGCAATCTTTGTTAGGAGATGTTGACCTGAGTTTTTCAGGTACAGATGGCACATATCAGAAGAGGGAGAAATGGGTTTGGGAGCTGTGTACAGAAGGGTGAGGTACAACAGACACGAAAGCAGGAGGAATTGTGCAGAGAAGGTTGCTTTAAGCTGGAGGAGATGTGGAGGAGAAGGCTCCTGCGTTAATGAAGGCAGGTTTGAAGATGCTGGAGCCAGTTTTGCCTTCCATTAAAATTAATGAGTCGAGCTGTGTGGACTCTCACGTGAGGAGGGCTGTGTGCGCGTTCCAGGAAGTCACTGAGTTTTGCCATTGTGCTGCCAGGGAAAGTCATTAGGACCACCTTTGTGAGAAATACTTTCTACCAGAAATGAAGGTTTAAGACAGAAGAGAGTAGAATTAGGAAACAGAAAGCAGTTGCTTCATCCTTTATAGATGGGAGATCTGCTTGAACTGTGAGTAAAAATATGGCATATGGTGAAGGACATTTAATGTTCAGTTGCTATTTTATTTCCTAAAACAACTAGCCAATCAAGGCATTAAGTACTTTATAAAGTCAGGAAATTAACGGTCCTTGTAAAAATTGAAGGTTTTTTTAGAAAGAGAGCTGTAAAAGAACAAACAATTACAGGTAATCAATACCATTGTTATTAGGAAACCTATGAGAACAACACTTCTTCTCAATTAGGGAAAAACTGTATTTTATGTTTCTCTCTTGCAAGCTGATCTTTGTTCATTCCAGCCTGTAATCTTGGTTTATGCTTTATGGATAGACTTTGTTCTGGCTGTTTTTGAAATATTGCTTGCCTTTTTTAAAGGTTTCAACAGAAGAACAAATAGCAATGAACTCCAAGAACAAAGGACCGTTCTTCCTTTCTTTCTGCCGATTTATTTTTTTTTCCCCCCATTTCTTCAAGAGAAAAGCAAGGAACGTTTCATCTTGTTTGTTTTTTTTTTTTCCCCTCCTCTTTCAGGAAGTTGATGGCAATAAAGTGATGTCTTCGTTTGCCCCGCACAACTCATCTACCTCACCACTGAAGGCAGAAGAAGGCGGGCGCCAGGGCGGGGAGTCGCTGTCCGGCGCGGCGCTGGGCACCCCCGAGCGCCGCAAGGGCAGCCTGGCCGATGTTGTGGACACCCTCAAGCAGAGGAAAATGGAGGAGCTCATCAAAAACGAGCCAGAAGGTAAGGCCCGGGAAGCTGGCCAAGATTCCCTGTGTTCTTTTCTTTCCTCCAGATCCTTTGGATTGCGTATACTTTTTACTTTTTTTAATCGTGCCGTGTTTCTGCGCTGCTTGCTTTTCCGTGCCAGCGGAGTTAAAGATCTTACGGTTCTTTTCTGCATTAGAGGTAAATTTTATGAGTGTCCCATCACAGCTGTTTTTAGCTTTTCCCAAAAAGAGAGTCTAGTGGTCCTTTTGTTACAGTGGCAAGCTCCTCAGTATGCCTGCAGTAAGGCAATTTTAATCACCTGGGGGCTTTTACACCACTACTCCCCTCTCCCCATGTCTAGCACCAGAAGAAGTATTATCATCAGTGTCAGTGGTTTTGTGAAATTATCTAGTGTGCAGGTCATTGTTTGAAAGGTGAGAAGGTAAACTGGGAGTTAGTGAAAGCTTTGGTGTGGGACACATCATGGTCTGTTCATGTGTAGTGCAGGTGCTGTACAGGCAGGGAATGCTGGTGTTCTCTGCATTATGTATGGCCAACAACATCATGCAGTGTCCTTTCTGGGTGTCCTTTCTGGAGAATGGGTTTCTTGAGGGTCTCTTTGAGACCCTCTCTCCAGCTGGTGGTCACAGGACTTGTGTGCTGTGGGACTTGTGCTCTGGGACTAAGACCAGAGATGAGGATTTTTATTTTTTGCCTGGTTTGGGGCAGAGTCCAGGTCCTGAGTGGAAGATGAGGCTCTCATTGTGCTCTCTGTAGGTACCTCCATGTGTATTTACAGCTCCTTTTTGGGGCACTGTGGGCCAGCTGTGGGAGCATCCTGAGCCTTGTTGCCTAGGACACAGTGAGGAGACTCTGTTCTCATTTACACTCACCCATCCTGTTACAGAAATCTGCCCCAAATGTTCAATGGCAGGGCTCTCAGGGCCCACCTCAGTGCTGAAGCATGAACTGACAGCACCTGCAAGAAAATTTCAGGACAATTTCCTGCATACTGGGATGGAAGTAGGGCCACAAACACACTGGCGCATACAGGAGCATGGCAGGATTGTAAATGAGGCTTTTCCTGAGTGGAGCATGCAGTAAGGGTCTGCTGGGAAGCTAATTCTTTGAGCATTTTTTAATATTACTTACAAGATTATTTTTGCATTTAGGTTGGTGTAATGGTCAGTGCCACCTTGTGCCTTTGGATGGAAGATTGCAGGGGGAATGGGTGGGAAGGAGAGCAGGCTTTTATCTGCGAGAGGAGAGAGCAAGGAGCTCTGGGCAGTGCATAAATACTCTGCTGAGTATGAGGTTGTGCAAGCTGCACAGACTCCATTAAGCAAAGGCCACAGATAGACATGAGAATGGCTACAGAGCTTGTGCATTATCTCAGCTCTGCTAAAATGAAAATATACAGTACAAACAAAAGATCTACAGCTTTGTGAAGAGATTGGGAGAGAGAGGAGGGGGAGCAACTGAATGTTGGGCTTTGCAAATGCGTGCAACAAAAAATCTTTTCTTCCCTCCAGCCATTGTTCTATTGTCTTTCAAAGGCCATTAAATTGAACAGCAGGTTGTGATGAAAATTTCATTAAGCCCTAGTTAAATCATTATGAGGGTGCCATATTCATGTCTCTGCTTACTCCCCATCCAGGAAAAAATGAATAGGAAAGAGTTGAGCTTTTTTTCCCTTTCTCTTTAAAAGCGAACTAACAAAAGTTCAGAAGTTAGAAGAGAATGGGAAATGGGACATGAAACAAAAGGAGGCCAGAGAGGTGAGGTGGCTAGGAAGAAAATTAGACTTGCATAAGAGCATTGAAAGGTGGTGAGGGACAAATACATCATTTTGACAAGCCTCCCTCCCCCTTCCCTTCAGCCAACATGGTTGTTTTTAGAGTGGCTAATTAAAAAATATATATTTCTGGGTGCAGATGGCTAGACTGTTCTTAGAGGTCTTCTGCAAATATGAGTCTTTTCCCTAAATGAGATATATACCAAATACAGCACAGTGTCTTCTCTGTCTGAACCCCAGCAGAAAATTATTGTCATGTCTTCTTCATGTAGTGCTAAAGTAAAATTGTCAGTCATCACTGGTTGCTAGTCAGGTAATTAGCATATTAATGAATTTCCCTGTGAATGAGGTGTTACAAGTGGGAATCTTTGATAGTACATGTAGGTAAAACCGCGGCAATTTGTGATAAATGCATATTTCACTAATGATTTTTAGTCTTGCTAGTTTGTAAAGCTTTGTGGGATGAAGATCAAGAATCTTGGTTAAGCTTTGCTGCATTATGTCAACAAGAATAATATAATACTTTATTTCCCTTTGGGAAGAAAGGGAAACATTTGCACCAGTAGTTGAGGTTTAATTAAATCAATTTCCTGTGAATCTTTCAAAGACCAGATATGAGCCGGATTCCCATTTCTCTATGTACTCAAAAGTTTATATATTATTTAACTTGTACAATGGGCTGTGTTTGCTCTCTTTTTATTGTTTGAAATAGTCCTCTGAATTGCTGTGGGAAACGTGCTTTTCAAGCATTCTCTCAAATGGCCTGTTTTCCTCAAAATCAGAAAAAAGGGAAGGGCTGCATGGACAACTTCAGGTCTCAATTCAAACCTTGTATCAGTCAGGGAAAGGGCTTCTCTTTAAGGACAAGGGAGATATTCCAAAATATTGATTTTTGCGTTTGACTCTTTCTAGGAAACTTCATTGATACAAGGGAAACAGTTTTCTACGATTATGTTTGCTAGGAAATAAAAGTAAAAGTTAGTAAGTTTTGTTGGTACAGGACAAGAATTCTTATATTTTAAACACAGTGCTCGGAGTGCAGCAGTGTGTAAGCACTTGCCTGTGCTCACACAGGAGCTGCTGAGGGAAGCATCACTCTCCACTAAATGGTTTTCATGTGGATTTGCTGTGTGTGTACCCTTGGTTAATGTGCCCTGCAGGAGCCCATGCTGCCTGCTCTTCCAAGAGCTCAGCACTGCCTGTTCCTCCTTGGCTATGAGTTTTGGGGAGATTAGAGGGTGTTTTTATAGGGGTTTATACTTAGCTCCAGAGCTCCTTGCTCCTTTCTTCTCCCCCTAATTTTGCCATTTTCCTGCTGCTGGATGGAAGTGTGTGATTGACAGTGAGTCACGCTGACACAGAGGCATGAGTGTTCCAGTGGATCTGAAACTCGGCGAATTTCACTCATTACTAATACAGCGCTCACTTTTCTTCTCTCAAATTCTGTGGAAAATCCTTACATGCAGCTTTAGCACGAGGCCCCCAAAGGCATAAACCTATTACTGAAGTCACACAATGTTATTTTACATGAAACATTTCTGTCCTTTCTAACTTGGGCCTCGGCAGAGGAGTCAGTCCCCTTTCATTGCTGGCGCACAATAATGAAGATAATGGAGTGGGTTTGGAGCAGCCTTACACACTGTGACAGACCCCCAGCCCCTGCCCCGAGGGTCGTCTGCCAACCATGGGATTCCTTTTGCGGCTAAAATCATTAGGAGAATGAGATAGGGCGTGTTTTTCTTCTGTTTTCTTCAGGCATCAGAGGATGGCAGAGGCTCTCTGTCTGTCTGCTCTCCTCATTTGTGGAAATGAAATGGAAATCTCTTTGAAGTCACTGAGCTTGACTCAAGTTTGTGAAAGAAAAAGACCAAAGCAACCACTTAGCTTTTCCTTGCACTATTAATGGGATTGGATTGCTGCGTTTTAATTTATGGCCTGTGCTTGTGGAAAATTAAATCTCTGAAATCTCTGTAGCCTTTCCCCTAAACGTATGGCTTGGCTTCTGGATAGCAAAGAGGCAAACAAGTAAATTCCTCCCTATTTTTAGAATAAGCTGGAGTATTCTTTGGCTCTTTACATCTCCTAGTAAAGAGGAAAGATTCTCCATTAAGAATCAATCCTCTTTTTCCATGTTGGCAGTTTTAACAGGTTATGTATCTGGTCATCTTTAAAACCTTCAGAGTGGGTTTTCCGAGGCCAGACCTGTGTTGTTGTATGGGGTTTGTAGGAATTCTGTATAAAGAAATATCATATGAACACCTACCTGATGAGCATGTGTGGGTGCAGTCATTCATCTGCATGGCTCTTTCCTCCTTGGTCAGGACCTCTGAAACTCAATTCAGTTGGGCTGTTTAGGTGAATACTTTGAATTTTCCATAAAAACACGTGCACAGATGTACACATGTATATATATGCACACATATGTTATATATAATGTATTATATGTATTTAGACATAAATATATATGAACACACACAGACAAGTTATTCATTTATTGTGTTTCATATTTTTCCTGCTCCAAAATTTTCATCTTACAGTCTTTAGGTCTTCATAGGGGGAGCAATTAATGTCAGCTGTTTGGTAAGAAGGGAATATGTGTGTTTGCAGAGCTTCAGCAGGCAGTGTGGGTACCAGAGCCTCATGTATTATAGTAGGCAGCAGTACTGTAAGTAATTACTTCATGTGAAAAAAGGGATGAGAAGAGCCTCTTGGGCATGATTTTTGTCTTCTGAACGTCCTCCAAAGGCTGTTTGTATTTGATGTTTAAGTTTACATTATAAATCACAGCACCTGTTAATGTGGTAATTTAAATGACTGTTGTTTAAGCAGCTCTGTAATCTGTAAAAGCGAGCCATGCTGAATTCAGGCTCTCTGGCTGGGGTATCTCCTAACATTATAAAACTTTTAATGAACAAGTCTTGTAAAAAAATCAAGATGTCTCCCTCTTTTTGAGCCACAGATTCCAAAGCAGGCCATTCATGGGCACGAGAAGGGTGGCCTTTGAAATGCAAGCTCCTGTTTTTAAATCACATCTGATGAGAAGGGAGGAAATCAAGTGCACAGATTCGGGAAAGGCCCAAGGATACTGTAATTGGCTGAGGTTTAAAGTTCTTTTATTTGGTTCCTCGGTGCCCCTTTGACAGAGTGCGTGCTGGAGAGGCTTTGTAAAGCTTTTGCACTGAAGGACAGACAAGGGTACTTTGCAGTTGAGTACTTTCAAGTTTGGCTGGTGCGCTGC